AAGTCACCATCAGTGTGGCATTAAGTACTATGCGAAGCGAGGGCACATTTCAAGTGGGTCGCCAATCGGGTCTTGTATTAGTGAGGTGATGGACACCAGTGCGTTTGTGAGTGCAATGTCTTGTCGTGTGGGAACACAGGGTTGGGGGGCGAGGGGGTGAGGGATACCAATAAGGCAGAAAGTATCTTAACCTCATTTGAGCGATTTCATTATCTCAACGTTTTGCTATTCCTGCAGCTCTGCACGCTCACAACTCTACCTGTATTCCGCCCCATTTACTTACTTCCAGGTCCAAACAACTCCCATCATTGGCCTTCCCTCACTCCTACACCAGTCTTTCTGCACCTTCCAGTCTCCCCAGCAGATGAACACGAGGCACCTTATTGCTGCGAAGTTGGACCTGATCGCCATACCCAAAAGCACAGAGCTCCATCGTCTGTATGCAAGGTAAGGGAGGCACAACAGCCTAACAATCGCGGTGGGGATTTGAGGAGAGCAAGAAGCAGCAACAGCAGGAAGACCCAGCGCAATGGATATTCCAAGTTCAACGTGGTGAGAAAGAAGAAACTCGTTCAATCACATTGCGCACTTCAAACAGAGTTGTTGCCTTGCAACACGCGTGAACATGATGGACTTCGCTAACGTTGCAACTGCTGTCGTGTTTCAGAATGGGGCGCGTTGATTGAGGATAAGTTTCACACACCAGTGGACCGGGCAAGTTTCCGGACGCGTCGCGGACACTGCAATGAGTGTCCGCGACGGTGACCCGAGTGTCCCCGACGCTGACTCCATGTCAGACACTATTGCCGTCACTGTCGGGGACACTCCCCAAGCAAAAGGGAACGCCGTGGATACAGAGACCGTCGCGGTCACTGCCGCGGACACTCACGCGGCCACAATCGTCACCATCGCGGTCACAATCGTGGACACAGCCATCATCCCAAATACAGTCAGCATCTTGGCCACTGTCGCAGATGGCAAGCACAATGTCCCCACCACTGTCCCCATCACTATCCGCGACACCAAACGCTGTCCCAGAAACTGTCCGCGATACTGACGCCAACCAGAACGTGTCTGTCACTGTCCCCGTCACTGCCCGCGACGCTCCCACGACCCGCAATGCGAAGCGTCCACGACACTATTGCGGATGGCGTAAAAAGTGTTGCGGTCAGTCTCCGCTGGGGACACTCATTTGGAGTGTCCACGACACACATTGGAGTGTCCGCGACACATCCGAAAAACACCCCTGGACACTAGTTAAACCCCAAAAAAGAAGCAACGGTCACTGGCAGCCGCAGGGCCCAGAGCAGACTTGGTGATGCCATCCTGTCGTGCATCATGGAGAAGAGGGGCCCACCCCGGCTCCCACCCGCCAACCCCAACGCCCATCCTCCCACAGCTATTTCTGCAATCTGCGAAATTAATATGGCGAATATGCCGGTCCAAAAATAGACCAGCTTTGAAATTCGACAAAATTTTAGCAGCATCTGAGCGCCATCAAACAGACCAAGTGACCCACGTTCTTTAACACAGTGTGTCCCAAACAGCGGGATAGTTCACCTTTTGATTACTAGCAAAGGTGACCTGGTAGGCGACCCAGGGCTTCCACAATTGAATCGCACCGGGAGAGGCTAATAATGGACATTCACTTGTGCAACAGAGTGATACCAATGTTGAATAACGATTTACTCATGTTAGTCATGGCAGCATATGTTTTTGTAGCGCGAGCGCTAGTAGGCTGCAGTATCCGCTTCCAAGATTGGGTGCTGTTGATCAGTCAGTGGTAGTCATTGAATGGCGTCCCTCCACGCGGTCCACACCTACCAGAAAAACTGTTGCTCCAGACACCGGCACGATGCTCTACATGACGACGACATCCCCTAGAACGAGCTCACGCAAGTGCAGCAGGCGTGCGGTCACAAGCACCTGATCAGCATTTTCATTGTGCGCGAGCTAGCAGCAGGAAATGTGCGAAACTCGAACTGACGTTTCCTGCAATGAGCTACATGCGACACTTGAATGGCGTCACTCCTCTACGCGCGGAAGTCTGGATTGTGTGGCTTGGAGGTTGCCTTGTGTGCGGCGAGCAGCGTCCGTGATTGCGGTCCAGCCAAATGCGTGGGCAGTTTGCCAGCTGCCGTGGCCGGCACGCTCACTCAAACAATGTCTCTAGGTTTCAACGGCGGGAAGATTTCTCTTCAAGCATGTCTCTTAGGCAGTTCACATGACAATTGCGTGCCGCCACAGTGCCCATATTGTTGCAAGTTGCAGTCAGATACTTTGGATTTGCACGAAGTGTGCAGGCACATGGCTGCTGCATTGGCGAGCGGCCGACCTGAAGCGTATTCACCAGGTGCGCTGGCTTGGCTGGAAGTGCTGTCACCGCCAGCCACATGTACACCTGATTGCACGGCGCAAGACGTGTTGGGATGTCAAAGCTAACATACGTGGGCGCGCTCCAGGAACCCTTGTTTTGGCATTGGTTGAAACCTCCAGCAGTCGGTCGCCCGCGAGCTCCATATCCCAGTTTGCAGCGCGCAGCCACGGCAACACAGTGAGAGAGTGCACATCGAATCGCATCAGTGAAGGAAGTGACGAAGCAATGGTTAATGTGATGTGGCGGCAGATATTCAATGAACCGCGTTATAGCATTATCATCGAAGGTCAATTCAAAATTGAAGGGTGAAAGGAGAAGTGTCACAAGCGCATCTTCCAGTTGCGTTGCGGCTATACCTCCAGGCTGCTGTGTGCTCGGGTATCACGCCAGACGCCGGTCAGGGGCCCAGGTTTATGTCGACAACTGAGTGGATGCTCTCTTCCCAAACACCCTGCTGACGCATGCCGCAAGGGACTTAAACCCCAAAACGTCCGCTACCTATCATTTCCCGAGGGCAGAAATCGCAGAGGTCGCTGTGGCCTTCATATCCGGTAATGATATTTATCATACAATCCACTTAACCGGAGCGCTACTGCGACTCCTCCATTCTGACATTGAGCTGAAGGCTGAGGAGCAATTCGCACGGCCGTGCTAAGAACAGGTAGCGACTCTCCTGGGGCACCCACTGCGGCAGACATCGCCGCCCCACCTGTAAAGCGAGCTTGCGTCTCATTGGGAATTAATCGAGCAAGTGGCACACACATCGCAGGAGCATCTTCGTGGCTAAGATGGGATTTCTCATGTTTAATTCCAATTTGGGCTCAAAAATGAAATTATATATGTACGTCGGACCTTTGAGCTCTGTGGCCGTACTGAAGACGTTCGGCTCAGACGCCTAAAGTCAAATTGGGCTGATGGCATATTTATTATGAACTGTACTGTTATCAGCGCAGTGAATGAATTTTAGGCCGTTTAACAGAAGAATAACTGAATATTCAAGTGAATGTAACTATAATGGGACCTTCATCCAGTGGAAATAAATGTGTTACACTGCAAGTTCTTAATATCTGATGTACTTCAATACAACTGAATGCGCGTACATGCGGATATGTGCACTTCAGTCGCACGTTCAATATCAAGGCGGAAGAAGGCAAGACTGCGTCATTCAGAACGGCCGTGGAATTGAAAGATCTTGGCCGCGTTTCCTTGCATCAAGTACCTTGGCAATCGTAATTCGAAGTTTATGACAAATGCGAGTCTCACGCCATGTGAAATAAGAAATAGTATGAAAATTAAGAAACTTGGCAATATAACAAATAAAAAATGAAATAGTTCTACACAATGGCATTCTCTCTTGCAACAAGAGAACATGTGAGCAATACAGGCAAGAAACTTACCACGATCACGTGCGCAAGCAGTATGATTTCTGTAAGCTTCTGCACACTTTCCCGCATTCCCTTAAGGATACAGGGCACAAATTGATGAGACTAATATGCTCGGAGCATGTTTCCGACGTGGAGCCCCAGTGTACTAAAAACGCTCTTCGTACGAAGATGCGTCCCTTTCGCGTGTTTCTCAGAAACACCGCACGTACTATTCACATGTACTGCATTCCGGAGCTACCGCAGCAATGCCTGATGCGACCGTTGTTATCACAGCGGCTGAATGTGCCAGAAATGCGGCCATCGACGTTTGGTGGAGCGCCAGTACAATGCCAGATTTCCTCAGCAGCGTGCTGCCACGTGACCAAGGCCTCGGTGCAAGTTCCACAGTATCAGCTGCTGGGAGTTCAGTCACGGTAATCCTCGTGGAAGTGCGAATTTGCAGAGACCCGCGGTGCCATATTCGGATTTAAAAATTGCGCGAAACGGTCGCTTGAAACAGAATTTTGAAGAAGAAATTCGCCTGCCCGAGGTCGCGCTGCTGCCATATAGAAGCCAAAGGATAAGAGGCGATCCGGTTTTGCCATTGGCCAAAAGCGTTTCTTGTACTGCCTGCGAGGTGTTTGGTAAACTGTTGTGGATGCACACGCTCGCTCAGTTGCAGCAGTTTGGGTTAAGTTGATGTCGAATTAGTTAATCAGCGACAGCATCACGGTCGAGTCTGCGAGCATGCCTGTAGGACACTAATGGTTTTACAAATTTATCATACAATAAGCCTTTCATGTCCTTCGTTCGAAAGCCCCTCATTTGCTATTAACGCAACACTGATGACTCAGTGTTGCGCTGGAAAACTTCATTCAATTGCCTAACCTCGACCACTGTTGGGGATTCAATAATCTTCGGGCCCAGCAGTAATGTACCATACTCGCATAATCGCACATTCCTCAATCGATGAGCACCAGCAGCTCCGAAAGTAGCCAAGAAACTACCATGGCGTGCCCAATATCGTGTACCAGTCGCAAGAAATTATACCAAAGAAACGTTTGTATCAATCTTACCAATCTTCAGAAGCATCTCAGCTCCAATGACATTGCTTCGGCAGGAATGACTGCTGGTAATGAAGGATGTGGAATATCGTTCTCGTGAACTTCATATGTATCCTAATGCACGAAACGGACATCCTCTGCAGGTGCAAAGACCTGTCTAGTTGTTATGACTGGTCCTCCAGGTGAAGCTTGCCGTCATATTCTGCACACACGGTGATGCCAAGATGAGTTTTCAAAACATCGCTCAATACGTCGCTCAATAGTTGCACGTGTTCTCCAGATGCTCCAACTAAAAGCAGTACTTGTGCACAGTACTTTGAATAGGTTCCCTACGTGTTTGCACCCGCGGGTGGTGGGATCGATGCAAGGGCATCCACTTACTCTGTGCGCGCCTCTTCCGCCCATTCAGAGAAGTTGCTCGCCAGAGCGAAATGGACGTGGCATCCAAGACTCGGATGCCAGCTGAAATTCATGACGACGCCAATGATGAGATCAGTGGCAATATTCTCAACTTTTAGGTCTTTCTTGTCGGCGATGAGAATGACAGGCCCTCCATGATCAACGCCGCCTGTCACATCGGCGTAATTGTTTAGCTCGCCGCAAATCACTCAATGGCCCAAAAATCCCTTCGCCGCCATGATGTCGCTTCTGACTTTCCAATTGAGTTGTGCACCAGGAAATAACCCAGGATTTTGAATATTGAGTCTCAAATAAAATCCAAATTCCCTCGAAATGCGAGGGAAAATTGATCGCGCTGCAGGAGTCCCACACTGCAGACTATTGAAATTCGTATGGGCATAGCTGCAAAGAAGCTGAGGGCGGTCAATACAGCTCACAATGGGAAGGTACAAAACAACGTTGTAAGCGCGGCCCCAACACTAGCAAAAAAGCGAACAAATGACACTTTTTGCGAATACATATATATGCATTTCATCGGTTTTCTGCATGCTAAAACACAGAAATAACACAAACCCGTAAACTTTGTACACATTTGAACACGTGGCCTTTTTTCCAAGTGCAGCGAGCTCTGACGAACAAGTCTAATGAGGCAGTAACGATTTAAGACGCACCCTTACAGTCTTTAATGTTGTGCACACCCAAGGGTAGACCTTCGTCCGTAAGGTCGGTCGTGTTGGGATCGAATCTCACATAAATAGGTTCACCACCCATCTTGACAACGACAAGCGGCTGGCTGTCGTTCGGCATCTGCTGCAAGAGCTTGAAACCCCTTGCTGCCACTATCGGGGCCAGCAAAGATGACAGGTTTTCAAGGGCCTGCGACGGGGAGGTCTGAAGGACGGCAACATGGTGTTCATGGTTCAGGACCGCCCTGACCACCTGTTGCAACAGCCGCGTCGTCAAGGGGGGTGGCCGCAATGCCGTTGCAAATCAATTCAACGAGATTTGACCAATGACAGCCATTTCCGGATGTGAAGGTCACGGAGGATGTCGCGGAGGTCATGCAGTGTACGAGGTTCCAAATAATGAAAGACCTATTACCCTAGACCCGAAAATGGACTTACCACAAATAATGAGATTCATGTCAGAAAATAATGGGTATACGACATGCAGACATTCACAGGTTCACGGTCATCATTGGAAAAGATTGTGCATTACTGGGAAAGAAAATTCGAACCCAAGGCTGGCATTATGCGGTACTGTGCGCCTAAGTAGCCATTCTGCTTCCACATGGCTGTGGCCAGCGGTGGAGTTTCGATCCTCGCCGCTCGCATTACGGATACGGCAGTAGCCCAAAACGCAACCAGCCACCCATAGAACTACAGCAAACGCGTGCACTGCAATGATAACGAAACACACACAATGTGTTTCGAAGTATCTGTCTGGTTTGTCCACCAGGAAAGAATATAGTAGGCTTTGGACACCAATGCCTCAGCAATTACTGGGCTAGGTCTGAGTGCAAGTCTTTGTCCTCGAATGGTTGGAAACCAGATAGAAAATATCGCATCCTGGGCGATGATCACGTGATACTCTTTGCCCAATGCTCAGCCCGGCAATGCATGTGAACGACGCGGCTCCGTATAGCATACATCACCGCACATACAGCCCTTGCGGCCAAGCCTCTCGGATTCCCCCTGAGCAGGAAACGCTTCCGCCCGCTTATCATTGTTCAGTCCACACAATTTCCAACCTCTTCAGGCCGCGCAGATTGGATGCATGTGTATGCGATGCTGTGACTAATCAGCTTTGCTACAGTTGCCAAAATTTGTTGAAATTGGTAAAGTGCGAAATATTGCTAAGAACTCGCAAAACCTGTGCATGGCAGGTGCCAAAGCTTTTGAAGATTGTTGATTCTAAGTGCTATGCAGAATAAAATCGAAAATTTGAGCGGTCTGTAGCAATTTAAACACTGCGATTTCCTGCAATTCCCAACCTCGTCCTTAGCAGTGCTCCACTCCGAGCGAAAAGGACGCGCGGGTGCGAGAAGCTGGGGAAACGACTTTACCTTAATGTCCAGATTGGGCTCGATGCTGAGGAGTCGCACAGTGGGGAGGACCCCCGTGTCATCGATGACCTCAAATGTCGTCAACACCAAGCCCCCTTTAATCACCGTACCCGTAGCGATGCAGCGGTCGTCTTTTCCATATATCAGGGCGATATACGGGAACCGTTTTTTGTCGAGGGCCTCCCAGTCCTGCGCATCGTAGATTAATAGCTATGGCGTGGCCCCAAACGCGTTGCCCGCGGAGGTCCTTCCTGCTCGCTTGCAGGCGCTGTCTGGCGCCACACCGAAAGGCTCCAGTGGTCTCTCGACGCATATCTCTCAGAGCGCCGCATCGCCGACACACTTGCGCAGCTTCTCCTCCCCACATGGGAGAAAGGCGCCATGTATGGAGCAAATGCATTCTTGAGCAGATATGCTCATATGTTCAGATATGTTGCTTTCCGCAGATATATCCCTATATTGCGACAATATATGACAATACGTCATCGCAAATGCGGATATGCACGTCTTGTTACCTGAAACTTGTCCTGCTGCATGAACTGTGAGGCGGGCTGTGAGCCTGACATGGTCGCAGAGTCAGGGAATTTAACGAGAGCTCCAACACCATTCCGTTGCCCCGTCTGCCCTTCTGCCTCTGCGACTGGCAGCGCCGCCGCGGCAACGGCTGTGCACAGCAGGTAGAGGATGGCTCTGCACGATAGCCAACACTTGGTAAAATCAGCCCCTGTATGAAACGGATGCGATCCACTAAAAGAATATTCTCTTGAAGGAGTTTGTGTTGGACTTCCATCAGCACACCTGCCGTGGAGGTCAAAGATTGGCAGGCACAGATGAGAGTCGAGTTGATGCAAAGGGGCCAAGGTGTGGAGAGAAGGCTCCTTTGACATTCAGTCTACAGCAGAAGCAGATCGTGCAGCAATGTACGGTGGCAGGTGCTTGTCAAAGTCATTCTGTGGCTTTTAAGCAAACAGGACCTTCCACAATCCATTCAGGGTGGAATGTTGCAAGTTTCTGTGAATGGCCATTCACTGTCCTTTGGCCCCATGAGCATGACAACACACACATACACACACACACACACCATGCCTATCGACAAATCGTGTGTTGTCCGAGCGTGGGCGATGTTGGGTCACTGCGAGCGTCCCGTTTTTCTCGGGTCGCGTGCCACCAAATCGATGGTGGAACCCAGAAGGGCCGCAGGCGGACGCTCTTCAACCTTGACACACATCCTTCTAGAACCATTTCGGACATTTTCATGTCTCGACTCCACTCCCTGATGTTCACATTCCTCCAGCACCGGCTGCAAAAGACATCACACTTTCCCCGATGGCCTGTCTGCCCATCGGCGCGCTGTGGTCAGAGTCTGTAGCGCATGACGCTCGCTGCCGCAGCCGACCATATGGCTTCGCGAGATGCGTCCGGCCGCTCCTCAAAGGCATAAGCAAAAGCAACACGGGCGCGACAACGGGCGGGCGCACCGTCGCATCGAAGCCATGTTGCGGCAGAGCAGTTGAATGGAGGCGATGACCTTGCGATGGCCTTCATCTGGACAAGCCAACCTAAGCATGACCCAAATATGGGTCCACAGTCTCTGTGGGAGGAGGCAGGGGACATCCAGCGGAGCTGCCCACAAGACGGTCAGGCGCGCGGTGCTGTGTTCGAATGGAAGAGTCGAGAAGGCGGCGTGACATGCAGGTTGACGCCACTCATTTCCCTTTCCCAGTGCATATTCCAAGAACCGTTGTTGATAATAAGTTCCCTCAAACAACCGCGAAAGGGCAACCTTGTTCCCAAGGGTTTGGCAGTAGCCCGTAACATCCGGCCTTCCAAGTGGAGGCCACGAAGGGCCACGCGACCACCCGCCACGCCTCGTTGCACCAATGGTGCCTAACTCCCCGAAGCAAAAGATGCAGATGCCCCACTCCCCCGTGGAGACTTCAGCTGGCGCAACAAGCCATCCGCTATCCCTAGCGCCTCCAATCTGTGCAGTCCTGATAGTAGACGAAGGTGGACGAGAGCCAGGGTGCACCTACCGTGGATGAAGTCGATTCCCGTCCCTCCACTGCGAGTAGCCCGCCATGACCGTTGTCGTCGTGCCCATCGCTCCTGCCACTCCCAGCCACGCAAGAATGCTGCGGATGGTCTCCTTGCCAGTGCCGTCCCCTCCCAGCCTACCCTCTGGATCTGTCACGGGAAAGCGCACACAACGCGTCGATTGTGGGACCTCCCAGGTGGCGGCACCGGCCAGTTGTATTGGGCCCACTGCGGTTCGGCCAAAAGGTGCAGACGCCCCGTTGTTGATCGTCGTTCGCGTTGGGACAAGAATGCTGACCCACCCATCAGCGGTGGGTCAGGAATGGGTTGACCCAAAGGCGCCAGGCTCTGCAAGATGAGCTGTCCCGTTTAGTGCGTCCTGTCTGCCAACCTGCTCGTCCCTGGCAAGTGGCGGACCCGCGGCTGCGCGTCCATGCGTCGAGGTACCATGAACGGCGGCAACAGCCGCTGCAACGCTTAATAGGCGGTGGCGGGAGTGGCCAACAGTCTGAATAACAGTGAGGCTTCTATGATATGTGTGAGAGGGGCGAAGCTTCGTGCGGAAGCGGAAGCCCCCAACGGCCTATCCCGATAGTACATAAGGGCCTTCGGGAAGTGAAGCGGGGGTGCTGAAGAGAAGCGGTTGCAGCAGACGCAGAGCGGCTGAGGAGCTGAGCTGAGCATAGCTGAGCTGCTGAGCAGAACTCGTGCTGGGACCGTGCTGTGAAGTGAGCTGCACACACTGAGCAAATGCCGCCAAACCATGAATGCATTCCAGCGATACTTCGCATGCAGAAATAATTGCACTGCAACCGCAAATTGTGCCCCCGACCCCACCCACCTACTCACCCACCCTCGCAACCACAGCCCGCAAACACTACAACACATCCGCTGCCACAGCGGTAACAAAAAAGTTAAGGACCACGCATTGGTCAACGCACTTGACAATATTTATGTGCATGTGATGAATACGTGTACGACTGTTTTTGAACAATTTTCCGAACACCCATGTCAGCTGCTTGCATCACGACAGCAACTACCATGAGAATCACACGTTGCACTCAGTCGACCGCGAAATATGCGGGTGTTAGGCCTTCCTCAGAGACAACATCACCGCGTAATGCGCTCATATTCTTCATTGCACGTGACGAAATAAATGACCTACTTCAAATTCCCCATATTTGCGGCGTCGGCTTCTTCGAGGCAGATATTTACCAGATTTCAGTCGCAGTCTGGCCCCGGTCAAAAATCCCACTGTCTGCCCCATCGCGAAACAAAGCCCCACGAATACATCCCTGGAACATCCCTGCTCATCGGCTGAAAATGGACACCGCAATCAGCGGTTCGCTTAACATGCGCTCGCTCGGACTGGGGCCCTATCTCGCGCTACAGGCCGTGGGCGACTCACCCAGTGGACGCAGCAAAGGCCGTAACAATTGCAGATTTGGGCGGACGCGGCGCGCGGCTTAGCGAATTGCAGGGGCCTGGTCTCCCCGGCTGAGCAACCTTAGTGTTTGGGAGGGCGACAGACGCGAACGTGAACAGTGGCCCTTCAGAACCCTTCCAAGCTGGGAACCAGCGGCCAACATTGCAATGCGAAGCTGCAGATGCCCACCATCCCCATTCGGTCAAAATGAAGTGAGGGCCGCAGTTCGGCCATTGCAGGCGACGCTTCTTAAGTACAGATTAAGCTCCATCCGTTGGTGCG